CAAGAAAAACAGCGCGGTGAAAGCAATCACAGCTGCATATCCTAGTATGTAGTTTGGCACTACTGAGCTCACGAATATAACGAATGAATTTGTGGAGAGTAGTGACATGAACAGAATTACCAAGAAATAGATGAATGGCCCTCTAAGTGATAGTGCAAACCAAACAATCACTGCATAAACTGCAGCCTGAAGAGCTAGGAATGGAAGGTAAGTAACTAGACCTGCAACATTATTATGTACACAAGACTTATTAGAACGACGTTTACTAGACTTACTAAAATGGAGTAATAAGTTCAAGAAAAGTAATCAGACCTGCAATTGTGTAAGAAGAGGCTCTATACTTATTGTGAGAGGTCTCGCGGATGAAGACAAATCGTTCTTGAATGAAAGCAGGAACAGCATCATTGGACGAAAAGAAAAAGAGGGTGCAAGTGAAGATGAAGAAACTGAGGCGATTTGTGATCCCTTGAAGGTTTTCTTTGGGATGCAGGAACATAGTGGCCATCATAATTCCCATGGCTGATAGTACTACAAGCCTAGAGAGGAAAAGTTCAGGGGTACGCATGATGTTTATAAAGTTTCGTCTCATCAATATCCATGTCTCTGAGAAGAAAGAATTCGCAAACTTTGGCCCAAGATCATGGAAAGAATGATTGATGTCATGAGCAAAATCATTGGGTGTCAAATAGTCATTTTCATTAACAGTGTAGTCACTACTATGCGGAGTTGGAGTACTTTGAACGATCTCTGTAGAGTAGGCATAGCATCCTGGAGAGGAACTGCACAAACATCCCAAATATTGTTCGTTAGATTTAACTTATATATACTGACAGTATAATTTGTTTTACAATATCATAGCATTTCAACATGTTGTAGTAAGTTATCTGTCTTATTTTCCATGTTATTAGTGCCATTTTAGATTATCAGTGTATAAAAGTTTTGATTCTAATCTCTAATAGAAGTGAAGTGAATGTATTTACCCCATAACACTTGGACTTCTATGATCATTGCGCCTAGCTGGTGAAAAGCCTATAGATTGTAGGACACCACTACGGCTGGCACTCCAGGACTTAGATGTATTCCAGGGACTCCTAACACTGTGATCGAATCCTGTGTCATCTTGTGCATGGGTTTGCAAACGAAGACGTTTGCTTGACTTGTCACGACCTTGTGCCTCCACGACCTGATGTTTAGCACGGTGTGATGGACGGGCAGGTGATGGAAGCACAGTGGAAGCTGACATCTCGTGTGCTGCTGCACCGATTGGCGGAGGTTTCATACCAGTAAGTGCAAATGCAGCTACTGCTTCTACTCCAAGTTCAGATTGATCATATTGCTGAATTACATCAATCAGGTGTTCTATCGAGCTTTCGTTCTTTGGCACTTTTCGTCCCATCCTAACAAGATGATGAGACACATCATTCGGTGCTCCTTGGTACATGAGTTGTCCGCGAGCCAGGATGATTAGATGATCAATAAGCAATTGAATACGGTGTGAAGGCTGATGAATTGTTAGAATCACAGTGCTTCCAGCTCGGGCTATATCATGCACCTTCTCAATTACACTATGAGCACTAGTTGAATCAAGACCTGAAGTAGGCTCATCCAAGAACAACAATGAAGGTCCATGTATAATGTCCACTCCAATTGACACCCTACGACGTTCACCTCCAGATACTCCTCGAGTCCCTTCATCACCTATGTAAGTGTTCCTAGTCGACTGCATTCAAATAAACGACCATAACTATACATAGGTTTAGACATAAGAAATTCCAGAGTCCTCAAGAATGATGATCAAATTAAATAAATCTAATAACATACATTAAGTTTTAGGATTAGCTATATTTGGTTCTCAAGAAACATGACGAATATACAGTTAAACATTTCTATAACAACATTTCACTATAACAACCAAGTTTTCAATCGATTTTTCATATTATGTTACATGTTCTGCATAACAGCATTTTGCTATAGCAGAACACAAACGACGTTGTTGTAAAGAGGTTTGATTGTATAACATCAGGGAATGAGTTGTAGTCGACTTACAGACAATCCAAGTTGCTCAATCAGCCTCTCAACCTTCTCCTGTTTTTCGGTCCTAGAGAGTGATCCTAATCTAAAATCAGCAGCAAACATGAATGTCTCATAAACAGTAAGCATTGGAAAAAGTCTATCATCTTGCATTATATAAGCTGAACTTCCTTTGATCAAACTTGGGCTCATATCAAGCCCACCCATTGACACTTTACCCCTAAGGCTTCCACTAGCAATTCTTCCAGCCAATCCATCTAAAAGTGTAGACTTTCCAGCACCACTTGGGCCCATAACTGCAGTAATGCAACCTTTTGGTGCATAACCTGTTATCTGGTGCAACAAGTCCACTTCTTGACTTAACCATTTCCCATTTTCATCTTTGATCTTTTTTGTCACTCTGTATGTTAGGCTCGAGAACTCGAGCCCCCCTGTGTAATTCACTGGCTTCCCTATGTCCACAACATGTCCCATACTCGAGTAATTTTACGTTGTCAGTGCACAAAACTTATCGACTTATTGGGGACTTGTCATATGTCTCCCAAAAAAATTGAATGATTTGCAAGGGAATTATAAGGTTGAGGCTAAGAAAATGACTTGCCACAATTGATGGCTTAGTGAGAGGAGGGAATTACAAAGTTAAGATAATTATATTAATTAGCATTGAGTAATCCGTTTTAAATTTGTTATGATCAATAAGGATAAAATATTTTCTTGTTTGTTTCATCCTTAATTTTGAACTTCTTCTTGTCTTATCTTTAACATCCTTTGCTAATATCATCTTATTAAGTACCATTTTAACTTTTATATGTTTTGTTGGTTGTGATGCTTCTTTTCTTCCAAAGCTAGTTTACTTCGGTTTTCTCACAAGTTAACTCTGTTATATTTTAACAAAGATTTCACTTTCCTTTTATAAACAAAAATCCCCAATACTATATTGATGCATGGTTCATAACTTCTTGGATAATGGATCCGCCCCTCTACCAAAAAAACACAAGTCTAGTTTGTCTTCTAGACTAATTGCAATCTAGATGTTGCGTCTTGCATATATTATCGTCAGCCTGGTGCACTAAGCTGCTCTAGGGAACACATCAGACCACAAGGGTCTATTGTATGCAATCTTGTTCTGCTTTTCTATTAGACTGTTTTCACGGCTCATACTCGCGACTTTCAGGCTATAAGTAACATGACACAACTTTATCATTTACATCAAGATTAACTGTTATATAGTATAGCATGTATTCTCATGTGTTATTGTAGATAAATTTTATCATAGAAATTGATGGTTAATGATCTTCTTCCGTTTCATTTTGTCCAAATCAATTTCTTGTTAAACATATATGAATTTCATATGTTGAATTAATTTGACTAGTATGCGTTGTTGAATTCTGGTAACTGCCACGTCTCAGTTTTGGACTGTAGCCTAATAGTACTCTACCGCAAAATTAATAGGAGTATTTTTATTTATTTTGTGTTAAGTCAAAATTAGATAAATAAATTAAAATTTAAGGAGAAATTATTTTTGGACTGAAATATTTTTATCTTCAATTTCCTTTTTTTTCTTATCCTGATTTATTTTTAGCATATAATAATTCCCTTGAAGCATATCCTTGATTTTGTCAGCCAAAATTTGATAATATGCATACCTCATTAGTTGACTTATAGTGAGATGAGATCAACTATAACTGAACATTTTTTTTCTTCATTTCATGTGAGAGTTTCTTATATATTGACTTATTTTTCAGCTTATGTAATTAGTTAAAATTAACATGTAAAAATTAAATTTTCGTGATAATAACTATTATATTATGAAAAAGTGATCGGCGAATGTAATTTTTGTGAAAATAGGAGAGTTGAGGACCCAAGCTAGAATATCTGTAAATTTGAGGGCCCGATTATTATTTGTAGAAATGAAAATTGGATCTATATTGAATTTCACCTCAAATCGATTTCTTAAGGGCTATTTAAACGACTTAAGTGTAAATCATAAGGATTGAGTTGTTGGATATTGCTTGGTCTTCACTCTATTTAAAATATATTTATTTTTAAAGAACTATTATTTAAAGCTCAGACCTATAATCTCAACTTCACCCCATATATCTCGCAAAATAATTATAAGATGACTAAACTTTGTAATTGTTATACTTTACATAGGGGTTCAGAAAACAAATAATTTTTGCACTTGGTCCAATATATATTGTTACTCCTTGTAAGTAGTTAAGTTCTATGGCTTAATCTTTTTCAAGAAAACATCGAAGTTTGTAGAGTAAAAAAAGGTACAAAATCTTTAAAAGTTAATAAACTAAATTACGAATAAAAATATAAGTTTTAAATATAATTTGATAATTTAAAATTTAGCTTTATATCATTATTTTTTCACAATCGTGGTGTTTGGATCAACATGAACACACCTCTATCGATTAATTTCACGAGGGACTTGTCAATGCTTTAATAAATGAATAGAAATCACTTAATGTGTTTGTTTTAGCTAACATTTTAACTTGTGACGTCGTTCCAAGTCTGCTTTATTAATCGTTAGATCACGCCCTTACATGTCAGCAATTAATTTCATTGAACTACCCCAGTTGTGATAGCCCCAAATCAAGTCATCAGACCAAACCAAAAAATAAATAAATAAAAATTGATATGCATGCACATATTGCAACCAAATTGATAAGGATTGAACAAGATGAAGATGGTAAAATTTAATTAGCTTTGATAAGATTTTGAAATATATTTTTAGAAAGGATACACATAAAATCCTCAACAGCCAACAACATTTGCATGTGTGGGCATACAAGAGAAAATATTGAGAACATTTATTACAATATTTGGTCCTCTCTCCATAACTCCATTATAATACCCTTTACTACTACTATTCCTTTACTATAAAAAGAGGCTAACATAGCAAATGTTACTCACAATTCCAACTTTCTCAATACATATTACTGTTTGTTTAAACCCCAAAAATGAAGCTTAAGACTTATATTCTCCCTTTGCTTTTACTTCTTCTTATATCCTATTATGTAACTGCTACTGAAACTTCTCAAGATGACAAAAAAGGTAAGAACTAACTTTATATTTTCATATACCATCAAGTCATTTATGTGTTATAACCGATTACTTATCATGATTATTTTACAAGACACAAATGACAAATTTCACATATTTTTTAAGAACGCTTATTAATGTATATATACTATATTCTTTAGTGATCTTTTATATATGCCAACAATGTATATCACTTAAACTCGTATTTAATTAAATTGATGGCTAGGTAAAAATACCTCGATCGACCTTTATTATATGATCATTAACAATTCTTATACTCACTATATATATTTAGTATACCTTAGTTATGAAGTGCTAATCTTAATTTTCATTCTATTAGCATAATATCTAATAATAAGCTTTTAAATTTTGAATGTTATTATTTCATGTTCACATATAAATTAGTAGGCTAATTAAAAAAATAAAAAATTAATTACTCTTTAATCTAATTTGTTGCAGCTAATGAAGTGAAAGAAGCCAGCAACCAGTACAACGGAGGCGGACACGGAGGCCGAGGCGGCTGGGGAGGCGGAGAACATTGTCATTATGGCTGCTGCGGCGGTTATAGCAAACGTGGTTGCCAGAAATGTTGCACCCCTCGTAATTAATTCGAACTTTTTAATTATCGAAATTCAAACATATTATAAATTAAAATGAAGGAAGTAATTAATATATATTTTCATGTAAAGAAGTTATTTTTTTAAAATCAACGTAACTATTTAGTTTGCCATTATTAATTATTAGTCTTTAATTAATAAATATATATCTCTTCGATGAAATATTCTTCACTAGCTCTCTAGATTAAAAAAAAAAAAACGCTCAAATACTCTTTTCATAAATAATTTATTCAGAACGTAATAAACTGTCTTTTCATAAATTCAAAATTCTAACTTCGACTCTGTGTCATATATTTGCAGAAGAAGCTGGTGAAGGTGATGGTGATGGTTATGGTTACGGCTGGGGAGGACGTGGCGGTGGTGGTGGCGGGTGGGGCGGACGTGGAGGTGGTGGTTGGGGAGGTCGTGGCGGTGGTGGTTGGGGAGGACGTGGCGGTGACGGAGGCGGTGGCTGCCGACATGGATGTTGTAATCGTGGTAGATATGGAAATTGCTACCAATGTTGTTACTCAGCTGCAGAAGCAAAAGCCTATAATGAAAATGAAGCTCAACCTTAAAAGTTTTAATTTATAATTAAGAGTATGTTGAAATGAAAAGAAGAAGCATCCACATGTACGTAGTTACGTTAATGTAATAATAAAGTAATTATGAGAGAGTTTATGTGGGAATAATACGGATGCTAATAATAATAATTAGCTTATTATATAAAATATATATGGGGGTTTTTGTTTTGTTTCACTAGTTTTGCCTTAATTAGGGTTAGATCCCTATAATGGCTTTGAGAACTCAAGTTTGCATGTGATGTATGTTGTAAATTTGATGTTTTCTCTTATGTTTTGAATAAAGTGAATTCCTTTTGTTTACCTCTTAATTATCTACATACTTTTTTTTTTAACTCCGTCTCAAAAAAATATTCATCTAAATTTTTTATAATTAAAAAAAAAATTATTTTTAAATTATCTTTAGATAAAATGATTTATAGAGACACAAATATTTAAAATTTGTTCTATACCATCAATTTTGAAAATCTTCTTATATTTCTTAAACTTTATGTCAAGTAATATAAAACAATATTTTTGTTTTTTTTTATGTAATATTCTTATTGAGATCTAATTAAATTAGGATTCACACCGAAAAGAAAGCAAAAGTGACGTTTGTACTCAATTTTTGTAGTTGGTTTTTGAAATATAATTTGGACAAATAAATAATTGTGCATTTGGATTTGTCCTTGAACCATTATTCTGAAAGACATTTGTGTTTAAGTAAGGTGAATTACCTAATTGAAAAACCTCTTGTATTCTTTAAGAAGATTCAAATTTATCAGAAATTTTCACTGATCCAACAATACTAATATTCTTGAAGGAATATATTTAGCGTAATTTTATAAGTGGGATCTAAAGAGGACATACGCAATTTTATTTATATAAGGTAAAGAGACAAGATTGTTTCGGATAGACCTTTGGCTCAGATAAAGCATATAATGAAATTAAAATAGTGAAGAAGAGAGCCATAGCAACAAGCCAACAACCAAATACTAATGTGATTATTGAAGCAAAGGAAAAAAAAAACATGCAACACTAATCAAATTGGAGAATAAAATAATTAATAGGAGAGTAATATTAATAATTACTACCATTTTCTTATTTCGAGAGGGTAACTATTATAGAAAAGTCAAATATAAGAGGTAATTAGGATCAGTTATTATTTGAGGAAGAAACGATTATAAAAAAGTAAATACATAAGGATAATTAAGATCAGAGATTTAAATAAAACGCGGCAAATTTAGAAAGGTATTTTTTAAGTATTTTGCTTGTATATATAATTCCCTTGAAGCATATCTTATAATTTGGTCGATCAAAGTTGATATTAATTATGCATACCTCATTGTTTGACTTTTATAACTGAACATTTTTTACTTTGTTTTGACGTAAGACTCATATCAAGAGAGCACTCAATTTCTGATGATGTTCTTAATTTGGACATCATAATGAAACGATATTTTTTGAATTAGTTGTTAGTTATATGCTTCATCTTTTTTCAAGAAAACATTGAAGTTTATAAAGAGAAAATTTAAAAAGGGTACAAAATCTTAATTTTTTTTAATGAAAATTTAACTTTTGACTATCAATTAACATACCTCATATCAAGTCAGACGAAATAGTAGCTATGTATGTACGCATATTGCGACCAAATTAAAAAGTTTGAAAAAGATAAAGCTAGTAAATTTTTTTTTTTTTTAAAATGGCTAGTAAAACTTTGTTTTGATAAGATTTTTATTTTTTTTGGCAAAGATACAAAATCCTCAACAGCCAACAACATTTGCATATGTGGGCATGTATACATGCAAGAGAAAATATTGAACTCATTTATTGCAAATTTTGGTTCTTTCTCCATATAGTAACATTACTACTACTACTACTCCATTGCTATAAAAAGTGGTTAATATAGCAAGTGTTACTCACAGTTTCAACTTTCTCAATACATAGTTTTGTTTATCCAAAAAAAAAATGAAGCTAATTAAGACTTGTATTCTCCCTTTGCTTTTACTTCTTCTCATCATATCCTATTACGTAAGTGCTATTGAAACATTTCAAGATGAAAAAAAAGGTAAAATTTTATATTTTTATACCATCGAGTCATTTTATGTGTCGTGGTAGATTACTTATCATAATTAATTACTTACAAGATACAAATTCCACGTTTTAAAGACGATTCTTTGATGATAAGATAATTACTATACAATATATAGCTCAAACCTGTATACTTATACAAAATTCCAAGTAATGATAATTTTGACTTGATTAGATGACCTCGTTGGACGTTTATTATGTGCTAATTACAAATCATACGTACTCACATATGTATATTTTTATAAAGTGCTAATTATCTTCGAAAAAATTGACTCATTCTATTTGCATGATATGATATTATACTATAAGCTTTTTACTATAGACTATGGTATACCTTATGAAGTGCTAGATAATATTAATAAAAATCTTCTTATTCCATTTGCATATATTTCTGAACATATATTGCCTAATTCATATATTCCGTACGTGGTACAAAAGAAAATATTATTCAAATAATAAGTGTCCATTAGAAAATATCATTTTACATAAACAATTCAAAATTCTAGGTTTGTCTCTACGTATAACTAATTCATATATTTGCAGATGAAGGTGTTGTAGTGGCTGATGATGATGATGATGGTTACGGCTGGGGTGGAGGACGTGGTGACTTTGGATTCAGTTGGGATGGACGTGGTGGTTGGGGTGGCAGTTGGGGCGGTGGTGGAGGCAGCTGGGGAGGCAGGTGGGGCGGTGGTGGAGGCAGCTGGGGAGGCAGGTGGGGCGGTGGGTGCCGATATGGTTGTTGTGGTCATAGATATGGAAATTGCTACCAATGTTGTTACTCAGCTGCAGAAGCAAAAGCCTATCATCAAAATGAAATTCAGCCTTAGAGATTTTCAAAGACTATATGTTGCAAGGGAAAGAAAAAAAGCATCCACATATATATAGTTAATAATAATGTAATATAATATTATAGATTAGATATGAGAGTTTATGTATGAATAATATGGATGCTTATACATATATTTTTTTTTTTGTTGTATGTTTTTTTCACTACTTTTGTCTTTGTGGTTAGATCCCTAATGGCATTAAGATTGTGTGTAATCTTGAAAGTTTTGATTTTTTTTCTGAATAATGTGAATTTCTTTTATTTACCTGTTCAATATCGAGTTTGAAATCTAAATGAGATGAAAAAGATTAAATAAATCAAAATAATGACAATTTTTTCCCTTATATGAGTATTTCAAATGAAATGGGCCTAACGACTATTACTCAGTGATCAAAAATACAACCTTAGTTGAAAAAATAAGGCGTTTAACTAAAAATACAACCTTAGTTTTGGGATTACTTATGTAGTTTTCCTTTGAATAAAAGTACAATTGAAACAAAGTCTTCTATTTTTTTGTTTTATTGATTTAAGACATGTATATCTCGCGGTACAAAGAGATATAGATTAAGTCCATCACTAGTTCATCATTAATGCTTTGACTTATCCCTTTAAGCTCTCTAAGAATTAAAATAAGTGAATTTTAGAAATAGCAAACATTAAAATTATATTAGCACTCTATAGCTATGAAACATCTGATTTGTATAAAATCGTGGTGATTTGTATAAATCGGGTGATTTGTGTCTATGAAAATTGTGTTTGTATATGTATATGTTCTTTGTGTTAGGCTAGAGTGGCGAGCAAGATTAGGAGAGAGAGGAGAGAGGCGAGTCAGAGAGGGCAGAGAGGTAATTGCATATGTATATCGGTTAGATAATTGTATATATGTAACTAATATGTATATGTATCAATGATTGTGTTTGTATATCTGCATAAAATTTGAAATTGTATATAATTGAATCGAGTTGAAACATTTGTATTTGTAGATCTAATCTCTCTCGCTTTATACAAACACAAATTGTACATCGTATTTGTATAATTTGTGTTTATATAAAGCGAGAGAGAAAGGCAAGAGAGAACTAGGTAGGGGAAGATTTGTATTAGTATAATTATAAGTGTATAGGACGGAGAGATATGTATTTGTATTTGTATATATAGCGCTTTATACAAACACAAACACAATTTATACATTTGCATTTGTATAAAAGTGAGAGAGGTGAGAGAGAGATTTAGGGGAGAGAGGTGAGAATGATAATGTGTTTGCTACGAATTGGATTTAAATAAAACTATAGCTACAACATTTATTTTGAATTAATAATTTGCTATAATGCACAATTTTCCCTTAAATATTTCGATCACATCTTATAACTCAAATAAACTCTAAATTAGTTATTGAGTTCAAGTCTCCTTTTGCATAAGACATAATATATGACTATTTAATTTGGTTTCGATTAATTGACATTTATATTCTTCAATTTTAGGAGTGTAGAAGTAGATACTTAAACTTACATAAAATTGAATTAGTAGACACATACGTCATACATGACATCTTGCATGACAATTCACGTCTTATGTGTATTATATCACGTAGGACACATATGCCTATTTGTTCAAGTTTAAATAAGTTTAAATATTTACTTATGAACACCCAAAGTTAGATAATATAAGACAAATCAAATGACACATTTATGTATTATGTTTTTTAATAACCTTATGTTGTCTACATATATCATAATCCTTATGCACCACATAAAAAAAGAAAGACTTAATTATAATATAAAAAAAATATAATAAAATAAAATAAACTTGAGTTGAGATTATGGAAAAGAGGAGGACAAAATTGGATAAATTCAATGTGGACTACCAACTATTTGAAATTTCCAAATATCCCCCAAAAGTACAATTGTGTGTCAATTTGGTTGCCGAAGTTTCTTCAAAATGGTTGGAGAAGAGCAGAAGGAAAGGAGGTCTACTGCCAATCTGAATTCAGTATTTTATGCAGAATCATACCATCCAATTCAAGCTGGAAGCATCGATGGCACTGACATCCTTCCCCATGATAACGCCATTTACAGAGCTCTTCTTTGCTCTAATGCCGGCTTATGTTAGTGATTTCATAGCTTTAACCCTTCTTTTTCACCCCTAATTCTTCCCAATTTCACCTCTTTTCCCATTTTTCAGATGACCCTTTTGGTGACCCAAAGGCTATTGGTGATCCTTATTCTACTCTCTTTGTTGGTCATTTGTCTCAGTTTACCACTGAACAGACTCTTCAAAAGGTAACCTTTTCTGTGTTTTTCTTTTTTTTTTCAACTGGAAAAGCTCTAAACTTATCCGTATTAGTTTGGGTTTAAAGGTTGTATCTTTTTTTGTTTTTTGCCTTTCTTTGTTTACTCTTGTGCTGTTCTTGTTGTTTGCTTATTGTCTAATTGGTGTTGTTGATTTGATTATATATTTCGGGTTGTGTTTATTTGCAGGAAATGAACAAGTATGGAAGGGTGAAGAACTTAAGAATTGTTAGACACATTGGTAATGACTGTTTCTTCCAAAATTACTTGTTTATGTAGTGTTTCAGATTTTGTGTTGTGAGGTTTAGTGTATATTGGAAATCATTGACAATATGCTGGTATAGACACTTATTGCAAAAAGAAAAGATTTTACTTTTTGAAGAATTGAAGTGCATATGATATGGAAGCAACTTGGAGGTAAAATTCTCTCATATTCTCTTCAATTTTGCAGTAACGGGTGCCTCACGTGGTTATGCATTTGTTGAATTTGAAACAGATAGAGACATGCGACGAGCATATACGGTAATATGATCTCACCAATAGTGACACTTATTTCCTCATTTTGTGAATCTTTTTAGGTGCTGGCCAATCTTTTCTGCATATCACAACCAGGAGATAGTGTGATGCTTGTACATTGTTTTAATGGACTATACAGGGGATACTTGGGAAAATAAGTAGAGTAATTGTACTAGAGAAACCTATAGAGAAATTTTAAGTATCAAAATGAAGGATCAAGAAGACTTGCAGTACTAGCTGTTAGCTTAGTTATGTGAAATAGCAGCATTAAATACTTACGCCTAACCCTTCTTTAGTGTGACCTGTACAAGATTTTTAAGACTAAACAGCTCTATGCTCCCTTCTGAATTGCTGAAATACCCAAAGGGATGGAAATGTGCTTGGCTACTGTATCTAATGTGGTTTGTTGGAGCTAGAGTCCTTCCTAATCACGAGAAGGAGGTTGCTAGGATTGGGAACTGGTTATTGAAGACTGTGATTTGTTATGTCTAACTAATTTGTGTGGATACGTTGATTTAAAGTTGTTTAAATACCAACTGTTTGCTAGTGGTGTAGTTCGGAGTATGTAGATGATCCTATAGCGGTTAGAGATATCCTAGGTCCTTTGTAAGATGAAGTAGGATCTAGTTTAGTTTTGTTTTAAGTACACGCAATTGTATGTAGCTCCATGATGTAAATTTGGGATCCCAGCCTTTAGTGCTAAATATTAATACACAAAACTGTTACCTTTGTCAAAAAAAATACCAACTGTTTATATAAGGAAGACGAGTCATTGTCCTTGAAATACCCAAATAATTAAATTGATCTATGTTCAATTTCTCATTTACCAAACTCATTGCCTCTCTTGTTCATTTTGTTATTCACATACTGCAGGATGCTCATCACAAGGTTATTGATGATTCTGAAATAATAGTGGACTACAACAGGCAAAGGTTAATGTCAGGCTGGATTCCAAGAAGATTAGGTTAGTTTCTTTAGTCTGATATCCGTCTTCTTGAAGTTTTAATTTGCTATTAAACCTATTATCAAGATTATTCTATTTGACAGGAGGTGGTCTTGGCGGAAAGAAGGAATCTGGGCAACTTCGTTTTGGAGGTCGTGAAAGACCATTTCGTGCTCCACTGTAAGTATTCTTACTTCATGTTAAGATAAAAAAGAACCGGAGAATTGTCTCATATTCTTACGCGCTCTAAAGTCGTCCTTGCATTTTCATCCATTAGATTCTTTTTACTTGTGAAAGCTAAGCATGTTTATGAAGTTAAAGGGTATTAATTTAGTTTAATAAGCATTATGTGGAGAATGGTAGAGGGATAAGCCCATTATCCACTGAGTTTGAGCAGTGCATCACTTGCCCTCTGGGATTTCTCAGTTGCTAAAGAAAATAAAATCACTTTTACAAGCATTATACAGTTAATAGGTCAAGGATATGATTTCCGTCAGAATCCTTTCCCACTTGTCTTACCCAAGTCCTTCAAAAAATTTGGTAAGATAAAAACTTTTAATCTTGTTTCACAATAGACTAACATGCTTTTTGGGCTGTCGAAAAGAATGTCATACCTAATCATGAAGTTGGAGGATTGTGTGAAAAAGCTTTTATAAGGTCTTTGAGGAAGTTTAGTTAGTCTATAATAATTAATAAAGACTTGGACTTTACTCTTTGCTAGTTTGGGCTTACTGGTTAAGGCGTTAAGCTTATAACATTGCTCCAAGTGATTGAGTGGACAGTCAGTAAGGGTCATTTACACCTTTGGTTGGCTTTGTTGAGCATAATTGCATGCCTTTCTTCCGTGGGCCTTGGATAATGGACTCGGGGATGGGTATAAATGGGATATCCTACATATTTAAAAACAAAATCGGATATCTCAGGAATCTTATCCCTCCAAACCTGGGTAGAAATGAGGAAGGCTTGAATAGATTTATGACTTTATCCTGCTTCAGTGACAGTTTGCCGGTGACCTGTCCTAAAGAAGAGGAAGTATAAAAGGGGGAGCAGGTGAAGAAAGACAGAAGAGAGTAATGAATCTATTCAAAAGGAAAAATATAACAAAAGATGGAAGAGAGTGAGTAGGCTTTTGCTCTTACCTCCATTATACTTGAGGATGAACAAAGGACTTTTTGGGGAGCTTATCCGGTGAGATTGTAATCCCAAATAAATTATAGCCCTTCTCAGGTAGTGTAATCTGGCAAATAATCCAGTTCGATATTTAAATGTTACCAAATGTAGGATAAATTTCTTCTATCCTAATAAAATCCGCTATCTGGCTACTGATTCTTATGATTGGCTGTTGCTGGATACTGGATTAGATTAAGCAGGATAAATTTATCCGCCACAGGTAGCTTTTTGTATGTCAAGCTGGATTAATGCTCTCTTCTAATACCATATCAACTAACATAGCTGGCCTTTCTCTTCCATTTTTTGGAGGGGTGTGGGGAAAGGAGAATGGGAAGAGGATTACAATCTCAACAGGTAAGCTTGCAAAAAATTTAACTGTTGCCCCTCATGTAAAAATAGGAGGAATGAAGTTGGGCATAGGCCCTTCATTTTTTTCTGTTTTCCTCGTTTTGCCCATCACTAGTAAACTCTTACTCCTCACCTGGAACCCCTCATCCTGTCAAAAGACTGCTATGGCTATGAGATTGTTTGTTTCATTACTTAACTTGAGGTTGTCTTTCTGCACTTTGCAGATTCGTTGATAGAACCATGATTGCTCTTGTAGTATAATTGCCCACAGTTGATTTTGAAAGATGACTCTCTTGTTTATTTTTCAAATAAAATCTTGTCAATGTTACTAAAATATTCCAGCTTACTCTTTTCTATTTGCTTGTATGAAGTAACCAAACCTAGATATTAATCCCAATGTCTCTCAATTTGTTTCCTGTCATTCTATTTTATTGTTTTTTGTTTTTTTATTGATCTGTGGTTGAGTACTGGTATTCCGACTCTGAAGATTATGTTGTGCCTCAACAGAAGGGAACACAGTTTTGTTGAGGAAAAAATAAATAAAAAGATGGAACATTCCGTAGGTCTGAACAGTGCTTAATGCCTTAGCTTGCTACAGGGCATTGTCTTGAAGACATTCTCCTATTGCACTATTTTCCATGCTACTATTTTGTATATGCATTTTTCGCTAACTTCAGGATTCTTCTGGAAACAGACGGCCAATTCCGTGGGATGATTTAAAGAGGCTTGGTATACCACCACCTCCTGAGGGAAGATACATGTCACGATTTCAGGTAATCCAGTTCTTGCACATTTGGTTTTGGCCTTTTGGGAAAAACATAGGTGATCTCTTGAAAACCGTATTGTTCATGTTCACTCTACACTTATACAGTAACTGAAGCTAAGTTCTGTAGCTTATGATAGTTTCCTCTCCTCTAGTTTTGCTCTTACCATTATCCATGGCTGTCAAGTTCTCTGACTGAACTTATTTGATACAAAAGTGACTCTTAATCCTCTGGAGAAAGTACTGGTTAAGTCAAAATGAGAAAGTTGAGTCTGGATAATTATGGTATACAGGACGTAAATTGAATTTATCCATTTAGTGATTCTGATGACTTGAATAAATCCCGTGTAGGCTCCATCACCACCCAGGCGAGCAAGAAGCTTGGAGGATGCTAGAGACTCTTCTCACAAGCATGATAAAAGAAGCAACCATTCTCATAGACAGGACAGGTCAATAAGTCGAGAGCGCTCATCTGGAAGACAGGAGAGGTCCATGGACAAGGAAGATTTCTCTCATAGACAGAGAACACATGGAAGGAAACGAGGTGATCGAAGGTCCCCCAGCCATGATCATTCATCGGATAGGAGTTCAATGGACAGAAGCAGACATTCTCGCAAGCGCCAAAAGAGTAGCAGAGACAGGCATGACATGAAATCTCCCAGTCTTGATCATTCATCTGATGAAACTTCAACGTACAGAGAAGAACGTCGTCAATCACACAATGCACGAGATGACAGATGGTCTCCAAGAACAGATGATCCATTTGGTGACACTTAAATATCAGGAAGAACAGCATAGACCACATACTAAGCACTCATATGGTGGTGATGGCTGATGGTCCCCTAGCCGAGATGTACCTTTTGATGAAGCTTCTATTCAAGAACATGAACCACATTCGTAGAAGTAAAACTCGTGGATGAGTGAGAATATACGAATATTTTTGTTAGATGATTTCCCCTTAAGTTCTAACTTCTAGCTTAGGTAGTTTTGCTTTCTAAAAGAGTAATTTTATGGGCATGACTCCCCCATAGTATGTTAAAGCACTCTATTCCTCAGATTCTGGAAATGTTGTAAAAGATAAACAATCTTGCTTCAAAAATGTTTCGTTTTGTTCGTATTATCTATCTTTTTAAGATTTTTGCACACCCCTTAAGAAAAATACTATATAGTATTTGTATTTGTCTAAATTATCCCTTACATCTCCTTAAGCATATCACTTGTTTAACACCACTATTTGAAGACAAGTAGTAACTAAACACAATGATGAAGCAATTTTTCATTCAAATTCAGCCATGTTTACCTTACACAAGTTATATATCCAAGTAATTTATTCATCTGCTTATTACTAACTCATTTCTGAGTCAACTTAAAAGCTTGAATAAAAAGTACAAAAATCATAGTGTCTTGTGTAAGAAAATTCAAGATGTAGCTGCACCAAGCAAGCGAAGAACAAGATGAAGAGTGGACTCTTTTTTGATGTCATAATCCTTCACAGTACCATTTTCTAGTTGCTTGCCACCAAATAGTAGCCTCTGATGTTCTGCTTTTATCCCTGCTTTTTCATAGATTTTGTCTTTCACACTATCTATGGTGTCAAAGGTTTCCACATCTAGTGTCATAGTCTGGCCTGTGAGTGATTTGACAAATATCTGCATCCTTTATATATTTTTTTGTACCTAAATAAAAGAACAATGAAATACCTCACATGCCAACCACAACAACATAATTATCAAGGGTCCGCTCTACCACTGAACTAATACTAATAGCTAGCCATACTCCCTGTAGGAATAGTAGAAATATTTGACCAATTGCAACTATCCATTACAAAACCAAAACATTTGTTCTTACAAGTAAATACTCAAGATCCAAGTAGACTAACTAATGATATTTGTTGCATAAATTTAAGATCAAACAATTCCATCGAACTAAGTATAATTACTATATGACATGTACAATGTCAAAAAGAAAAGTGAGAGTACCTTAGATAAATCCAAAGAGGTGCAGAGGCTAAATTAGGCCAAAGAACCAGAAAATAATGTGTACGAGATGCCTGTTGAGGTTTGTGTATAGACAAGATGGCTTCTTATAATGGCAAGTTACACATTTGGTCGTCGTCTAAAATAATTATATTCACTAGCTAAATATATATTTTTTTATATAAAATATGTATATTTTATGTTTATCACATATTAATATATAAAAATATACATTTTCTGACTGTTATTTTGAGGGATGGCTATTATATAAATTTCTCTCTTATATATTTCTTAATGAGGATGAATAAACCATTTCTTTTTAGAAAAATAAAATAATAAAATGTTAAAAGTCAGCCATTGACTAAGTCATATGAATCACATAATACAACACGGTTTGACGTGTACGTATGCACAAAATTCTCTTTTAAAATAAAATATTCAGCTTGGCTAATGTATAAAATTGCATTTGTATGACCAAGAAATTACATGGCTAATGTAAATAACTTAAATGTCAAACTTTGAGAATGGGTGACACATGAATTTTGAAGGTATTTAAATGATCATTTATAAGTAGAATTGTTCAACGGACACAATGAAGATGCGTTGAGGTCATGTCTAAATGTTCATTCTCAAAATTAGAGTGTTCAAATGTCAGTTAAGGTCAAATTAAGATGTCTATCCATGTATTATGTCAACTTAAGTCCAATCGAGAAACATAGTAGAAAGTTGTTATATGTTAATAAGATTCTTAATATATACCTTATTCATTTATTCATTACACTCTTTTATCAAAGTAACATTCCTTTGATTCCTCAACTTGATATTATAATACAATCATTTCTTGAAGATAACATAGTCTGACGATTAGCTATAACAATATATTCGTGAGCAAGAGCGTATTTCACAATTGTTCTAAGTCGAGTCATGAGCCCTCTTCAGACTTTTCGCCAACAACTTAGAAGAAGAAATAGTTCCAACAACTCCTAAAAGCCCACCAATAACGATGAGAACAACGTTAAGAATCAAACTCATCCTCGAAATTTCTCCCCAAAAAATCTTAGTGTAAAAAGCACAAGGGAAAATGACACATATCCCAACACCAACTAATGAGCCAGTGAGACTAAGAACATGTTCAAAATATGGCACACTAAGGGCCAAAATCAAGATTACTAGTAACAAAATTGATCCAACAATTCCTCTTATCATCATCTTGACTTTAGATTTCATTGAAGATGGCAAATTTTCTTCTAACTCAATAGCAATTGGTGCAAATTCCAGTGCATATTTTGTCATTGGTGTGAGTATTGTTGCCCATAATGCAAATTTTGTGATGATTTGGTCATGGGGCATACTTAGAGTTATTTGTGAACTCACTTGTGGACCAAAGAGTTTTGCTCCCATAAAACCTAAGGATATATATAGTGTTGTCACTAATGAAAAGCTCACTATTGATACCTTCAAACACAATAAAAATAAAAATAATTAGTACAACAGAATTAGGCAGTATATATATATAAGTTTAAATATTCTATTCTAGCATGTTATATAACTTTTCTTTTAAGTAATTGTGATGCCACGCAAAAGAGAAAATGATGGATGGTTAATTAGTCATTATTTTTTTATTTTTTTTTATAATGGTGGTGTCCAGGCCAGCTTTCGCACACCTCGACTAATTCCACAGAACACATGTCACCTCCCACCAGCAACATGACAGATGGGAACACTATGATGCATGAAAAAGAAAGCCAACTGATTATTAGTTCAAAAAAATAAATACTACATACCTTGGTGAATTTTGAAGGGTCTTTCATTGCTGTGTAGATATTAGGAAAAACAATATGTCCAGCATAGCTGAAAATATAAAGTCCAGATATTGAAGGAATATTTTGTAAATGAAGAAATGGTATTTGATGATTAGCTTTTATACCACCAAAAATAGCAGTACATGCCACAGTAACAAATATTAAAAGTGACATAAAAATTCCCCCACTTGAAAGAAAAGAAATAGAAGAAAAATTTCTTAACCAAAGGGTAGGAATAGCTATAAGAATAGCAATTGTTGTTAATATTTGTGAAGTAGATAAGTGAAATAAAATCCCTTTTAATTTTAAATTTGTGTTTATGAACACAATGGACAAGTTGTCATGTAGAGAAATTGTGTAAGAAATAAGGGCCATGAAAATTTCTAAGTATATAAAAGATGTGACTATGATTCTCCCTTTTGTTCCAAATGCTTGGTGTCCAATATCTTTATAGTCTTTTGATTTGGGATTTTTTTGTAGACATTTTCCAAGTAGATGGGAAGTATAAGCACATATTATTCCAAGTCCTATAAGAATTATTGAAGACATCCACCCTCCATTTTCTAAAGCATATGGAGTTGATAGTTGTCCAAGACCTATATATATAAGAAGAAAAAAAAACAATTTTGTTAGTGAAGTTATAGCAATAGTCAAATACCTTTTTTTATTTTTCTCGCGATTTATGAACCTTTTTCAGACTGTTTTTTGAGCAAACTAAAAATCTTATGAGAAAATGTTAGACGACGGTCTATTTGAGGTATTATAAAACGTGAGAGGAAACAACTGACCTATAAGCATTCCAATCATATTGATAACAGCATGAAGAAAAGTGGTGTTGGATTTCACATGTTGATGATAAGCCAAACTCTCCAAATCCTTAGAGTTTTCTCCAATATTATTGGAGCTATTTTCACTTGTCACTTGATGAGGCAAACAACAAGTTGAATCAAGGCACAATTGTTTTCCATTGGACTTGCAACTCTTGTCACACATTGTGTATATCTTCTTAGAATGGTGAGTATTGATATGCATGCAAAGTTCAACTCATATTTATAGCTTATAATTTAGAGTTAAGTTGTAGAAGCTAACTCATTTTAACTCCTATTTGTGAGAATCTACTTTAATTTCTCTCACTGTTTTTTTTAAATTAATCAAAATGCATGCATTTGCTAAGAGAGAATCTAGCTAATATATGTATGTTATATATCCCTTTTCTCTAGCTGACTTTGATGAATTTTCACTCATCGATGAACATATATATATTCTTTATTCGTAATATATATAATGTAACATAGAGATATATGTAACGTAGAAATATATGTTATTATGTAAAGTATTACAAGTAAATAATTTAAAATTGAATCAAGAAACATGTTGATTTGATCCTCTCAAAGTGGATTCTATGGCATAAGATGATTCTCCCAAAAATGTGGAAAGATTCTTGTGGGTGGGCAGCTCATGGGTTTCACAAAATTCGACATTTATAATTTTGCTTTGATATGAAGTGTGAGTTTCAGGCAAAGAGGATTCGGATAATGAACCCCTATTATCCCAAGTTAGTTTCGCTTGTGGATATGTGGTATTTAATTTTGATTAATACTTGCGCGTATAGAGTGTTTGTATTAAATTATGAATTCAACTTATCATGATTACGTCTGATTTAAGTGAAAATATAAATTATCTATACTTATGCATTTATAGATTTAAATAAAACTAGGTATGAATATTGATTTAATGAAGATATATATTTATGAATTTATCGATTTGAATAAACACTAGGTGCGGATATTTTTTTTTACCTTTAATTTTTGCATTTATTGGATTGTAGTGGATGAAGAAAATTTTTCCAATTGGAATTGCAAAAGCTGATTCTGTGACATATGCAGCCTAACATGACCTTATATTATATTCCCTACTAGGAATTGGGATTAATCAAAGTTAACTAAAGCAAAATTTCATCATCTTATGTGCTATACCATTATCACAACTAAATTCAATTAACCAAATATTATTCTTTATTTATTTATTTATTTATTAAAAACAGTCTGTTACCTACAGGATAAAGGTACTCACGATGTTTATTTCTTCTATATATCGATGATATCAATGTGTATGCACTCACATATAGATATTATTACTTTGTTAATGATATAAGTTTTTTTTCTATTAAAGTTGTAAATAGTTATGTTGTACCATTAGTTTCCTCGTTTAAGCAATGTCATGAAAAAAAGAATTTTAATATACTAATGGTTGCAGAAGAATCTGATTTTATATCATCTTATTCTCCATGATAATTTTCTTAGGTTTCATTTTTCCTATTTTAAAATATATCTTGGAT